TGGCACGTCCTAAGGAAAGCTCATTGTGGGACTGGCTCGTAGTGGCTGAAATTCTGCACCAAGGCTGAATTTCGGGAAAGAGACTTCAGATACAGTACTAGGGACCACTTAGGCCTATATAAAAGCATCCAAAAAGCAGCATGTCATGGGACCTTTAAAGATCACGTGAGTAACAATGCTGAAAATTTAGCTTTAGATTTAGCATATATTATTGACAAAATATATATTGCAATAGACCCGGTTATTTTAAATTGTAATAATTCTACAGTATTGCCATTTTACTATATTTTTGATCAAATAAACATCATTCATGAAAAATCCTGCCAACGCTAAACATTTGAATGGTAGTGCAAATTATATTATTAATCATCATTCATTTGTATTGCTATTTTAAATGTAAAAAAACGAATTTAATAACTATTTATAAAATATAAAAATATATAAATGCATGTAAAAAAAAATAGGATTTCATTATTCAGTTACACAGTATTAATGAAAATTGTAAATGTAGGACAACAATGCAATAGATGCTGAGATACTGCAATATAATTTTGACGAAACCAGCAGTTTAATTCTAAGCTGCAGCAAAGTCAGATTGTGCAGAGGACTCAGACAAGGTCTTCACTGGGTAGTATAGTTGACATCTTGACCATGATAAACAAAGACTTTTACCTAATGAAATATTGCACAGTAAGGTGACTGCACTAAAAGTCAGTATGTGGGGAAGTGGTTGAGGTCTCTAGGTCCCTGTGGAAGGTGGGGTTTTCAATAGAGCAACTGCTCTGTGGTAAAATCTGTTTTTGAGTCGTGTTGTGTGGGCATACAATGTTCTGCATTGTTTCCCAGAAGGCAGAAGTGTGTGAAGGGTTTCTGATGATGGTTTTGGCCTTCCGGGTGCATTTCTCTGTAAAGTCTGACCAACTTGGCACAAAATGAAATTTTCGCCGCTAGAGGGCGCGTATTCAAAATAAACAAATAGACAAAGGCGTAGTTTGGTGACTGAGTGTGGAATCATGGGAGTTGTCGTCTTCATCCCCACAGCCGAAGCAATCCGACGGGATTCGGGCAGAAATCATGTTCATGGATGAGCTAATGATCTATTAACGTAGTAGAATGAAGCAGGGTGAGGCTGAAAGCCATCGAAGCGAGAATGCCGGCGTCAGCATGTGATGCAGTGGGTTATGTGACATGGAGGGCTGCAGAATGGCAGGGTTGTGTAACAGGACTAGAGTCTAGTGAGCGCTCTGTCTCTTGTCTGGCCATGTCACCGTCACTGGCAAAAGTCGTAGTAACTGAAACTTCCCTCATTTAACAAATTTTGAAAACGCTGGTGCAGAAATTCAAGAAATACATTTAAACTAAACCTATCGAGATGTACACGAGATCCAGGCAAAGTTTGTACTGTTGCACCACCCCCTAAATGGTTTGCAGTAGCATTCATTAACACAGTGGACGTTGAACCATTGAACATTGATCACACAATAGCTTTATATGATAAAGTTTTATTTGATACGATTTTAATTTATTTCTTATTTTTTATGCATGTATAAATATTGATGAATGCACATGCAGCACACATATATGGAAAACCAAGTTTTTTTCTTAGGTCATGCAAGTTTTTTTCTTAGGTCATGCAAGTACGGTTGATCCATTTACCATATTTGAATGTGTGTTGATGATGTGTGTTTCTGCATAAAAGCTTATATTAAATCTGTTCATCATGTGAGGTGATCGTGTCTTCAATCTCTTTAAGACATTGTTAGATGTTGTTGAAAATGTTGGTTACGTGGGCTTTTTCAATGGATAGATGAAAATAATGAGAGAATATAAAAAATATCTTAATTTGTGTTCCAAAGAATAACGAAGGTGTGAAAAAGGTTTTACATTTTGGTTTGTTTCTCAGCCATAATAATAGAAGAAATCAAAATAACAGTAAACTGTGATGAAATGTTGCAGCCTGGTCTGTCACAGAGACGTGTTTGTAATTTGCAGCAGAGATGCTCTGGGTTCGGATCTGTTCAGACAGACGTGTGTCATACTGCTGGTCTGGGGTCAGTTTTGTGTTTTCTCTGTTGTGTAATCAGCCTCTTTCCTGATAGCAGTAAAAGTTTTCAAAGAGTGTAATTGAATGAATAGTTCATCCCTGCTCAATAGACAAAGGTCAGCTGGATTCTTTAAATGCTTTAGCATGTCTTCATTGAACCTTGCGATTTTAAAACCATGGAAATACAATATAAGCAGGTTTGTCATGCAGTCTGTTGTATACAGCATTGGGTTGAGGGTGCTGGTGTTTTGGTGATCGGAGTGTCTATTTACAAATGTCAGGTGATGTATTTAGTGCACTTGTTGTGTCTCTTCTCTGAGGGTTTAGTTGCATGAGATTATCCAGCAGATAAACTGTGCATGTTTAGGAAACACTACAATGACCCAGCACTAGCATTAAGCAAATAATCTTTTACGGTTTTTTATTTTTATTTTTTTTGCTCCGCGACATTTAATCTGGTGCCAAAGTGATTTTTAGTGGATGCATGAAGTCAGTCTATACTTGTCTTTATTTTGAACATTATATCTTTTTGTCCACTTCATTTGATAGATTGTTATAATATTATGGCATTTGCACATTAAATCAGGTTTAAAGGGATAGTTCACCCAAAAATGAAAATTGTCATCATTTACTCAGCCTCAAGTTTCTTATTTCTGTTGAAAGCAACAGTTGGTGGTAGCCATTGACTTAGATAGAGATAGTATTTTTTCCATACTGTGGAAGTCAATGGGAACCAACCACTGTTTGGTTACCCACATTCTCCAAAATATCTTATTTTGCTTTCAACAGAAGGAAGAAACTCATACAGCTTTGAAACAACTTGAGGGTGGAATATACACCCAAAACATAGTGGATTGGGACCAACCGAGCAGCTTATATTATTTGTTCTAAATGTGGTGTTCTTTGTGATTCTTGAACTTTTGTTGCATTTCCTAATATCTCGCTTGTTTTTTCCTCCTGTAAGGTCTGACGCATCTGATTGGCTCGCCTCTGCTCAGGGCCTACATGCACGGCTTCTTCATGGACATCAGGCTCTACCACAAGGTGCGGATTTGGGTCTGAGCATTTGTTCACGTTATGTTGTTTGTTTGAACATTTTTGCTCTTTAAATGATGATTCATGTTTAATTCCTGTGCATTGGTGCAGGTGAAGACCATGGCGAACCCGTTTGCCTATGAAGAGTACCGTAAGGACAGAATCCGGCAGAAGATCGAGGAGTCGAGAGCTCAGAGAGTGCAGCTCAAGGTAATGCTTGTTGACACATTCACCCTGTGTGCGTGCTTATCTCAGCTATGCGTAAACCTGGCAGATGAAGACCACAGAAGTATTGGTGAAAATAAATCTTGTTACAAAAACTTGCATGTTTTCTATATATACATTTTATTTTTATATATATATATATAAGAACTGTTTAGTTAGCCAGTGTTGTGCTGGGTCCCTATGAAATCTGTTTTATTTTTATTTTTTTCCAGCTTATTCCATTTAGTAATTTTAGTAATCAAAAAGCATGTGTAATTAATTGAAATTATGAAACTTACATAATTTAACAACACTTTATTAAATGTTTAGCCATATGGACCCCATTACTAAATTTCATTTTATTTTTCCCAAATTCCACGTTTTCCATTTTATTCTATTTTAATAGTTAATTTTAATTTTAATAATCATTTGAAATCATAAAATATAACCACTTTAATAGTTTATTCAAATGTTTACAATAATAGGACCCTATGAAATGTTTTATTTTTCAGAAGCATTGTCTTGTCAGTTTTCAAAGCCAGTGGTAATCAAATTAACTCATAAAACATGAATTATTAAAAAAAAATAATTAGTTAATAAATTGATTTAATTTAATTATTTTATTTTTTTTGCCAAACAAAGTGCTAAAATTAAAACATGTAAGAAAAATTGTGAGATATTACTTTTATCATTTTATTATTATTAGAATTATTACTTTGAGAAGTACATTCTGCTGTATAATATATTCCTGTCACAATTTGTTCAAGTTAAGCCAAACATTTATTATGGTGTGTTGTAGTGAAGATCTTTGAGTTTGTGTCTGTAATTGATGGTAGTTTTCACAAATAAAATGATGTAAATCCAGAGCAGCTCTGGAGATGAACTTGAAGTTTTTATGTGCTCATGTAATGAGTATGCTGCAGTATGCATGAAAAAGATGAAAACAGACAGACGTGCAGGCTTCATATTTAAACCAGTATTTTTGCAGCACAATATTCACAGACACTAGATCATATCGCCATTTTGTCCATACACTTTTTCCACATCGGGCCCTAGTGTTGAGTGAATAAAACTGTTAACTATGTTCTCATAGTCTGTTATCATCAGTGCTTTGACTCCGTCATTCTCTAACAGAAGCTGCCCAAGGTCAACAAGGATCTGGCCATGAAACTCATGGAGGAAAGTGAGCTTTCAACCAAGAAGAAGAAGAAAAAGGGCAATGTGGGCAATGTTTCTTTGACTCATTTCCACACTGCTGGAATACAGAAATATTTTAGTCAACTGTTTTAATTCTGTTGTCTCTCTCACTCCTTTTCTCATTCTGCTCTTATCTGTTTTTCTCTCAAGGCCGTAGCCAATCTCCTGACGGATGACCGCTTCAAGGTGATGTTCGAGAACCCTGATTACCAGGTGGATGTGCGAAGCGAGGAGTTCCGGCTGCTCAACCCCATCGTGTCTAAAGTGGGTGAAAAGAGGAGGCAGAAACTCAGCCAGATTGTTCAGCAAGAGGAACAGGTACAGTTTTTTCCTTCCTGAATTGAAAAAGGTATGAAATATAAATATTGTTCAAGGTATTGTACCAAAGTTAGAAATCCCAGTGTCGTGACAACTCAACTGGGGATGTGTAAATGTAAAAAAATAAAATAAAATGCTAAAAATGACAAAAAACAACAACAACAAAAGGACTAAAGCTTTTAACTGAAATTCAAATGAAAACAAAATATCAAAACTAAAACATAAAAACTAATTCAGAAATATTAATGAAATCTGCGTATGTCACTGATACTGAAATATCACTGATCTAGACAGCAAGGCAGACAGAGCTGGGTAGATTACTTACAAATTGTAGTTCATTACTGATTATGAAAACTGTAGTTAGTAATGTAATCTCTGTTGATAAAATGCTAGTAATTAATTAAATCATAAAATGTCAAATACATTTTTAAACACTTGATCACTAAAAATAGAAATTATTTCCTTTTTTTATCTGTTTACCATGTCAATGTGTGACCATTAATCAACATCAGAGAACTGTAAACATGCAATTATGTGTTAAATTATTGAAATATTACCTTCCTCAGAAATATTGCAAGTATCATTTCAATGGTGTTTGGCTGACAAAAATGGTTGGGAATCCCTGCATTTCATGAACAAACATTAATAGACAGCCAATAATGACATTACACGCTCAAGGTCTTTCAGAATCAGTCAATTATGAATTATGAAATACTGCCATTGTGTGAATAATATCAATAAAAAATGTACTGTAATCTGATTTTGAGCATTAAAATGTACTATACTCTAATTATGAGTACTCAATTTTTGGAATCTGATTATGTAATCCAGAGAACATGTAATCAATCACTAGACCAGCTCTGAAGGCAGGTCTCACGGTTTTGTGAACAGAGCTTCTGATTGTGAAAATTATAAAAAATACCACCAAGAAACCTTTGTAACAAGTGCAACATGTAAATGTCACATTGAGATTTCTCTCTAACTGTCTTGATCTCACTAGCAGGATGAGGAAGAGGAGGAGGTGGAAGGCCGTGGCAGCTCAGAGGAAGAGGAGAGCTCTGATGATGATGATAAGAGCTGGGTGCAGGAAGTGAGGGAGCAGCGCCGTCTTATACGGGCAGAGGAGCGGGAGCGCACGTTCAACCAGAGGAAAGAGAGGAGGCAACAGGACCGAGAAACCAGCTTACAGAGCTCTGATCCAGTCAGGAACCGCCAGCAGGAGCCTCAGAACCAGAGCCAGAACCAGCCCAGATTCTACCAGATCAAAGCAGGAGAGGAGTTTCGCAGCTTCGGCGATGTGGCCCGCAAACAGAAGATGCAGAAGTGAGTTATACTCTTAGATCATTTTAAAACCATTTATACCGGGTTTGTGTGGGTCTTAAAAAGTCTTAATTCACCCTTCCACAAATTAAGTTCTTAAATTCGAACAGAAAATGATGAAATTATGTCTTTGAATGCAAAAAATAAATCTTTCTCTGTTTTTTTTTTTGTTTTTTTTACCAATATAAATATCTGAACATCCTTAAGTCAAGATAAATTTAACTGAGATGCAAGCTGCCTGAAGATATGAAGTCTTGTTTTCTGGAAAAAAATAAAATAAAAAAAATTGAGTCAAACAATAACAAATGTATGGAAGCCCATTTCCACCACATAAGAAAAAAAATTCATGCCTCAAAGTCGAAATTATGACATACTTAAGTCATAATTACGAGATAAAAAGTCGAAATTATGACTTTAAAAAGTCGAAATTATGACTTTAAATGTCATAATGATGACTTTAAAAAGTCGAAATTATGATTTTAAAAGTAGTAATTACGAGATAAAAAGTCAAAATTATGGTTTGTCAATTACGAGATAAATTGAAATTATGACTTTAAAAAGTCGAAATTATGACTTTGTCGAAATTATGACTTTAAATGTCTAAATGTCGAAATTATGACTTAAAAGTCAAAATTATGATTTTACAACTTAATGACTTTATAAACATATTTGTCACAGGATAGTGGTCTAAGGATAAATAGGACATTCTAAAACAAATGAACTTGGCTTAAAACAGTTTGGAGGACCAAGTTCAATACACACCTTATTAATAAAGCGTATACCATTTACAGACCAGCAGAATATACTCCAAAATATGAACGCAACGTGCAAAGTCTCACCTTAAGCATTTATTCTTTATAGCTAACAGTTTTCTATGGGAGGAAATGCTTAAATTCAGCACGTTGCGTTCATATTCTGGGTTCATCCTCTTGCCTGTACACATAATTTATATTTTTGATAATCTTAATACTAGATGTGTTTTTTTTTAATATCACTGTCTCCTTCCACGAAGCCACGTTAAGCGTTTTCTATCCCAAGAAAGCGCTTAACGTGCAACTCAGCGCATTGCATTCATATACTGGGGTATATTCTGCTTGTCTGGTATGCTTTAATAATAAGGTGTTTACTGAACCTGGTCCTCCAAACTGTTTTAAGCCAAATTACTTGTACTTTAGGAGTAATAATGAAATCACAGCCTGAGTCCACCAGAAAGCCAAAGACTCTTACAGGCCTGCCTAGGAGAAAGACTAATGAAATATACAAGTAAATCCTATTGACCACCATGTGCCATTTTAGATTACTTTGTGGGAAATAAGTTATCTAATGTTTTAAAGTATAAGAACAAATTAATGTTTGTAATTATTTATATACATATATTAATCCAAAGTCCCAAACTAACAAAAAAAAAAAAAAAACATCTGAAAGCAGAATGTCTAAGATTGTGTTCAGATTAAAAAAGGATGCATTTTGAAAATATTTCATTTCAATTTCAAGCATGTAATAAAAATTATTCAAAAATATTGAGCAAATTAAACTAGTTTAATCCTGTCACGTCTGCAGTGTCCAATTGACCGCCTAAAATGATTCAGTGATTCAATAACTCACTCAAAAAACATGAAAGACATTCATTTGTCACCACCTTCTGGCATAAAGATGTAATCATTAGAAATGGTCACTTAATGTATGAGTGAATTAATCAGAACAAATTCAAAAGAAGTCAGTGGGGAAAAATCTTAACGCGGCTTTGTGGAAGGAGACGTGATATAAAAAAAAACACATCTAGTATTCAGATTATTAAAAACATAAATTATGTGTACAGGCGGAAGGATGAACCCGGCAGTGTTAATTTCGTTGACGAATAATTTATCATTTCGACATTTTTTTCACAGACGACAACGAGACGATAACGAACTAAAACTCTCTTTGAATGACAACAACTATGACGTAAATCTATTGACATTTTTGTCAAAGAATAAAAACGAGACGGAAATGTTAGGGAGGGACGATTTGGGAAGAGATTCATTCAGAACGAATCTACTGCGTGGTTCGGAGGTTAGATACGTACATATGAACCGGCGGGATATAACCTAACATACACTTGCTGCCCGTCGCATAAAACGTTAAAAAAATGTCAATATGTGCGCACGTGCACTAACCCTTGCATTCAAACTGATTGATTGCTCACATATTGAAGACACAAGTACGTATTGAAGACTTGTGCGTAAAGCTGCATTATACTGACTCACAAAATGATCAGCCCTGTGCTACTGAAATGATTAGGGATCTAGAAATGACTAAGTTTCTAGGGCTGCACGATAAATCGAAATGGAATCGAGATCGTAACAAAATGCGCATGACAATCGCATTCGATTAATCGTGCAGCACTATAAGTTTCTAAACGCACTGAACCCATAGTTTCTGATTGTGTGGAAAATGTAGATTTTTTTTTTATTATTATTTTCATGATACGTGCCCTTTAATATTAATAACTGCTGTTAGAACAGCTATACTAGCACTCGGTGTCGGTCAGTAATGGCTGTCCCGTCCTAACCGTGTTTGACGTGCAGTGGATGGATTATTGACAGGTAACACGTGTTAGTGAACGTGCCATATATAGCGAGCACGTCTTCCTGAACCTCCTAATGGGTTTAAAAGTGCTAGACAATCGTGTAACGCTCTCAGACTTGAGGTTTTACTCAGTGAATCATTTACACTTAACCTAGCAGGGGTTTTCCATGTTAAAGTCAACATGAAATCAAAATTGACTCTATTTTGCATTATTAATACGTGTTTGTGGTCTTATTGGGAACGCTTCCTGAATGCACATTATTATTAAGGAAAAATAGTTTGTCTTCACATTTGTTAGTTACAACGTAATAACTTTTCCGACTGATATCGTTTTTTAGAAGAATCTAATATTAATATATGTAAATTTCTAAAAAATATGTACAGTATATCTAACATGATCATCAGGCTTTTGAGAAATGTTTGTAGTCCTCCCTTCACTATTTTCTCTTGTTAAAGATTTTCAAGTCACATTACAGAAGTAAAAAGATGATTATTATTTTTTTTGGTCATTATTTTGCTCAATTGCTGTGTATTCACACTTGAACGTAACACTGTTTGACCTCACTCAGGACGTCTCTGGAGGAGCGACTCCAGCGGGAGCAGAGCTCAGGGAGGCTAAACCTCAGTGACACAGCAGTTGGAAGCAAACAGCTCACGTTCACTCTCAAAAAGGTAAGAATGAAGATGGCCACCTGTGCAGACTGAGGCTTTATTCCACTCATTTGATTCTACTGATGATTCATCTGAAACATCTGCAGAATGCAAGGTGAAGAATGCTGAATGGGTTTTCATTTGTTACTGCGATATCTTGTTCTGTCTTTGGTCGAATGAAGGTTATGGTGTGGTCAAATTGGGTCAGACTCATTCCCAGCTCAGATTTCTGCTGACTCACAGCAAAGACTGAAGAATGGCTTCTGTATGCCCTGAATTCTCACCGTGGTTTTCTGTCCTTTGACTGCTCGCACGCCCGTTTAATTCCCATACTCCTCCTGTCTGTCGTACACACAAAATCACTTAGCTGCTTTGTTGGGTTGTTAAATGGACCTGAAAATATTTTAGCAGCCGGATAGTTTGAGTAGTCTATATGACTCATGCAATATAATCCAAGTCTTCTGAAGTCATTTAATAGCTTGTGTAATTGTTCAGTGATGATTTACCCGTTCTGCTGTAGTTCTCAAGGAAGCGTGACACAATTCATGTTCAAAGATTGGGGTCAGTACATTTTTTTTTTTTTTAAGACATTAATTTAGCAAGGATGCATTAAATAAAAATCACAGTAAAGATGTTTAGGATTGTAATATAAGGAATATTTCATAGAAATGCTGTTATTTTGTACTTCCTGTTCCTCAGAGAATCCTGGAAAAAAAAAAAAAAAGTTTTCCATAAAAATATTTTGTATACAAAAACTGTTTTCAGCATTGGCGATAAGAACCGTTTTTGATAACTGAGCAATAATAATTTAGTAAAATCAATAATTGAGCAGTAAATCAGCATCTTAGAATGATTTCTGAAGATCATGTGACACTGAAGACTGGAGTAATGATGCTGAAAATTCAGCTTTAATCACGGGAATAAATTACATTTTACAATAGATTCAAATAAACTAAAGCTATTTTAAGTTGTAATCATATTTCACAATATTACTGTCCTGCTGATTACAGAACCGGCTTTTTTAACAAAATGCGCATGACAATCGCATTCGATTAATCGTGCAGCACTATAAGTTTCTAAACGCACTGAACCCATAGTTTCTGATTGTGTGGAAAATGTAGATTTTTTTTTTATTATTATTTTCATGATACGTGCCCTTTAATATTAATAACTGCTGTTAGAACAGCTATACTAGCACTCGGTGTCGGTCAGTAATGGCTGTCCCGTCCTAACCGTGTTTGACGTGCAGTGGATGGATTATTGACAGGTAACACGTGTTAGTGAACGTGCCATATATAGCGAGCACGTCTTCCTGAACCTCCTAATGGGTTTAAAAGTGCTAGACAATCGTGTAACGCTCTCAGACTTGAGGTTTTACTCAGTGAATCATTTACACTTAACCTAGCAGGGGTTTTCCATGTTAAAGTCAACATGAAATCAAAATTGACTCTATTTTGCATTATTAATACGTGTTTGTGGTCTTATTGGGAACGCTTCCTGAATGCACATTATTATTAAGGAAAAATAGTTTGTCTTCACATTTGTTAGTTACAACGTAATAACTTTTCCGACTGATATCGTTTTTTAGAAGAATCTAATATTAATATATGTAAATTTCTAAAAAATATGTACAGTATATCTAACATGATCATCAGGCTTTTGAGAAATGTTTGTAGTCCTCCCTTCACTATTTTCTCTTGTTAAAGATTTTCAAGTCACATTACAGAAGTAAAAAGATGATTATTATTTTTTTTGGTCATTATTTTGCTCAATTGCTGTGTATTCACACTTGAACGTAACACTGTTTGACCTCACTCAGGACGTCTCTGGAGGAGCGACTCCAGCGGGAGCAGAGCTCAGGGAGGCTAAACCTCAGTGACACAGCAGTTGGAAGCAAACAGCTCACGTTCACTCTCAAAAAGGTAAGAATGAAGATGGCCACCTGTGCAGACTGAGGCTTTATTCCACTCATTTGATTCTACTGATGATTCATCTGAAACATCTGCAGAATGCAAGGTGAAGAATGCTGAATGGGTTTTCATTTGTTACTGCGATATCTTGTTCTGTCTTTGGTCGAATGAAGGTTATGGTGTGGTCAAATTGGGTCAGACTCATTCCCAGCTCAGATTTCTGCTGACTCACAGCAAAGACTGAAGAATGGCTTCTGTATGCCCTGAATTCTCACCGTGGTTTTCTGTCCTTTGACTGCTCGCACGCCCGTTTAATTCCCATACTCCTCCTGTCTGTCGTACACACAAAATCACTTAGCTGCTTTGTTGGGTTGTTAAATGGACCTGAAAATATTTTAGCAGCCGGATAGTTTGAGTAGTCTATATGACTCATGCAATATAATCCAAGTCTTCTGAAGTCATTTAATAGCTTGTGTAATTGTTCAGTGATGATTTACCCGTTCTGCTGTAGTTCTCAAGGAAGCGTGACACAATTCATGTTCAAAGATTGGGGTCAGTACATTTTTTTTTTTTTTAAGACATTAATTTAGCAAGGATGCATTAAATAAAAATCACAGTAAAGATGTTTAGGATTGTAATATAAGGAATATTTCATAGAAATGCTGTTATTTTGTACTTCCTGTTCCTCAGAGAATCCTGGAAAAAAAAAAAAAAAGTTTTCCATAAAAATATTTTGTATACAAAAACTGTTTTCAGCATTGGCGATAAGAACCGTTTTTGATAACTGAGCAATAATAATTTAGTAAAATCAATAATTGAGCAGTAAATCAGCATCTTAGAATGATTTCTGAAGATCATGTGACACTGAAGACTGGAGTAATGATGCTGAAAATTCAGCTTTAATCACGGGAATAAATTACATTTTACAGTATATTCACATAAAAAGGATACTTTAAATTATAATAATATTACACAATTACTGTTTTACTATATTTTTGATAACATAAATGCTGCCTATGCTAGGTAAACAAAAACATCTTGACATAAAAAAAAAATCAGTGACCCCAATCTTTTCATTGGCAGTATAAAACACTTGTTCTTGACCGTCTCAACCATTCTCTGTTTGTGGAAAAACAACAGCTTTTTTTAAAGTTTAAAATAAAAGTACACTTTGATCATTTTTTTGGACAAACTATTCCTTCAGCAAATGTGGTGTCTGCATGAAAACACCTGCTTGTTCTCTGTGGTTGTGCTACATTCACAATAGGACAAAGAATTAAAACACTAGATTGTTCTCAGTGGATTTGTTCGGAATTTAGTTCTCCAAGTTTAAGCAGTGGTTGCTTTTCTACCTGTTTTAGTTAATTTGACCTCAGTAAGCTTGAATAGATAAATTACACTATACAAACTATCAAAACTAGAACAGAGTAAAAATAAACTGATGGACAGCAGTGCTAACTTCAAAGCTGTATTTCACTATAAATAATGTAAAATGCCATGCAGGGACCTTTCTTTGAACGGGTTTATTTCCATGAAGAGTCTGAACAAACAAAAGAATGACTAAAGAACGCTGATGAATCACTAAAATGAATCAAGTTTTCCAGTACTTCTTGAAAGAGAGAGAACGAACGCATTTGATTACAGCTTGAGTGAGTTGTGTGACCACTACTCTGTTAGTGGAAAAGCCACACTATTTTTAAAACAGCTGAGCTATTGTTGTGCTACTGTAAGTCTACTGTGTCACTGCTTTTAGTTAGTCACAACTCAACGCTGCTCAGATGCAGCCGAGACATTTTTTTAACCTTTCGGAACAAATTCAAAAAAAAAAGTTGTGGATCATTTTGGCTTTGACGTGAATTGTTTCTTATACTTGTATTTCATCAGACGGAGAGGCAGCGATTTCAACAGCAGGCTGAACGAGACCATCATGAGGAGAGGAGGAAGATCAGACGGGCGGCTGGACACTTACATTCTATCAGGGGAGGAAGAGGAAGAGGAAGAGGCGGCGGAGGAGGAAGAGGCGGCGGAGGAGGAAGAGGCGGCGGAGGAGGAAGAGGCGGCGGAGGAGGAAGAGGCGGCGGAAGAGGAAGAGGCAGTGGAGGAGGAAGAGGAAGAGGTGGCGAAGGAGGAAGAGGTGGTGGAAGAGGAAGGAGACCCTTTTAAACTCAGGACTGATCGTCCTCATGGATGCTGATATGCAGGACTTTTAAAACAGCCTTAAAATGTGTCTGATCATCATCATAGACATCTGCAGGAACCACTTTTGTGTTCAAGAGACAGTTCCATTACAGATGCTGTCAATGATTCACATTAAGAGAGAGAGAGAGAGAGTGTGTGTGTGTGTGTGTCAGACGTCCCTTTTTCCACAACATCTCTGCAGTCTATCAATTGCAGTCTAAACAGGACCTTGTGTTTTGTGAAGAACCATAAAACATTTTTTATCAACATCTGCTCTGTCCTGTTCTGATTTACACACACAAATCAATTCTCATTCAGCATCGATTCACTTTTAGTGCTGATCATTTCTAAAATGCTTTTGATTCTTCATAGTGGTTTAACAATGAAATCATGGTTTGACTCATACAAAACCGCAGCAGCACAGAGGCTGACCAAAATCAAACATAGCCATGTCCCATTTTACATACACTATATGGACAAAAGTTTTGGGACACACTTCTTAAAGGGATAGTTCACCCAAAAATGAAAATCACCCCATGAATTACTCACCCATAAGCCATCCTAGGTGTATATGATTTACTTTCAGATGAATCCAATCGGAGTTATATAAAAAAATGTCTTGGCTCTTCCAAGCTTTAGAATGGCAGTGAATGGTGGTAGAGATTTTGAAGCTAAATAAAGTGCATAAATCCATCATATAAAGTACTCTACATGGCTCCAGGGCTTTAACAAAGGCCTCCGGAAGTGAATCGATGCATTTTTGTAAGAGTAATATCCATATTTACATCTTCATAAACTGTAATCTTCTGCTAACTTTCGTTCGCGCGTTCACGTGAGAGTGGCATTTCTGCGGATGAGCAAGACGGGCGTAGCGTAAGCTCCGGTGAGAAGTGATGAACGCTGAAGCGCAAAGGAGAGAGCAAAACAAAGCACCTGTCATGAATTAGAGGAACAAAACGAAGATTAGTAAAGAAAAATGTCGGAGGATTTCAATATAAGCCAAGAGGAGAGAGAAGTTTTCCTTTGCTGTAATCAAAACTATTCTCACCGGAGCTTACACTACACCTACAGAGTTTATGGTTTATAAAGTTATAAATCTGGATAATATTCTTACATGCATCGATTCCGCTCAGAAGGCCTTTATTAACCCCCTGGAGCCATGTGGAGCACTTTTTATGATGGATGGATGGATGCTCTTTTTTGGGCTTCAAAATCTTTTTTTTTACTATTTTTAATTAACTCCGATTTTATTCGTCTGAAAGGAGAAAGTCATAGGATGGCTTGAGGGCGACTAAATCATGGGGTAATTTTCATTTTTGGGTGAACCATCCCTTTAATTGTTGAATTCAGAAGATTCAATCAGATGCGTTGCCACAGGTGAATAAAATCAAGCACATGCAGTCTGCATTTACAAACGTGCAAAAAAGCACATATGTTCATTCTGAAGAGCTCAGTGAATTCAAACATGGTAGTGTGATTGGATGCCACCTTTGCAATTAGTTTGTGAAATTTCACTCCTGCTAGATAGTCCACCTTCAACTGTAAGTGGATAATGGAAGATCTTAGGAACAGCAGCAACTCGAAGCAGAAGACCATGTAATGTCACAGAGCGAGGTCACCGAGTGCTCTGCTGATTCCAGAGCTGAAGAGAACCAAACATCCACTGGCATAATATTAACATATAAACTGTGTGGCAGGAGCTTCATGGAAGCATGCAAGCCTCACATCACCAAGAATAAAAACCATGCACCGACACTGGACTCTGGAGCAGCGGAAACCTGTGTTGAAATGTTTCAACTTTGTGTGAACAAGTTCTATTCCAGCATGACTGCTCTCAAAGCAAGGTCCATAAAGGCAGGGTTGGATGATTTTGGTGTGGAAGAATTTAAAGGGATAGTTCACCCAAAAAAAAGAAAATTATGTCATTAATTACTCACCCTCATGTCGTTGTAAACCTGCAAGAATCTTCCGAACACAAATTAAGATATTTTTGATGAAATCCAAGAGCTTTCTGGCCCTGCATAGACACCAACAGAACTACCACGTTGAAGGTCCAGAAAGGTAGTAAGGACATCATTAAAATGGTCCATGTGACATCAGTGGTTCAACCGAAGCTACTATTATTATATGTTCATACATTTAAAAACTGCTGTCACAACTTTATTTACATGGTTTATTTTCATATTTTTTTATTTGTGAAAAATGTCTTTTGAAAAAGGCAACCTGTAAAATGTACACTGTAAAACAAATTCCGTAAAATTGACGGTAAAAAACCGGTGTAATGTCCAATACAGTTTTTCACCGTATATAGTAGGGGAATTTACCGTTAACCATTTAACAGGTTTTTACTGTAGCATTTTTACAGTCTTTTACCGTTAAATTCACGGTCATTTTTTACAGTGTACAAGATGTCATGTGCAATATAAACTAACTATAAAAATTTAAGTAAATATTTCAATGATACTGAAATATTATTGTTTCAGATCTCATCAGTTCCTGAAAAATAGACCACATGAGGTTTTAGTTGGGTTTGGGTCTTTAATCCTGCAAAGCAATATTAGAAGAGGTTTAGAAATGTGCTGTTTCTACTTTCCCCTTTAGGAAAATGCTTCAGCGTGTCTGTTTTAAGAGCAGGATGACATTATCAGTGCACAAACCACATGCTTACAATAGCCAAACCATTCTCATCAAGCAAATGTGTTGACAGAGTTTGTTTTAATTACCTTATTTTAGCAATCAGGTACATGCAATCATATTATATACATTCTGAATATAGTCACAACTAAAGGCCATAATTTGCCACTACACACAGCCTTGAGTGCCTAACAAGTTTTCTTAAAAAAAATAGCACGTTTCTTTATAATACTATTAAATAAATTAGAAGATCTAGTTGTGACCTGTCAACTAAAGTTAATAGTTGGTCTCTATGGTTGCTGTGCAGTTACATTCATAGTTGCTGCTGGGCACCCATTATGTTGACTTTCAAGAAGTGCTGAGCACAAATATGGTCTTAAATGTTGTAATTCTGACGTATTTCTCATTTATTGGCAGGGACAGAGCATTTTACTGCTGGAGCTCTGCTTTGGAAAGATGCTTTTACAGTAATTGCAATTGATAAGAGGCTCGTGTCCAGTGATCGAAGAACATAAAAGGCAACAAGCTATTAGGCGATAATTTCAGGTGTTGTGCTGCCAAAACATGCTTCTAGGGTAATCAATAGATTTTTATAGTCTGTAAGCCTTTATAAAGAGCTAATGCAATGACAAAATAATTTTCTTGTTCTATGAAAGCTCTTCCCTCATGCAAAAAATATACACAGTTGGACATTTGAAAATGTACCACTATCGTTGCATTGATATTCAAAATATCAAACCAAGTGGCATTTGGAGAAATTTGGAATTCCCTCACTTGCTCACAAATGTATGCTCTGCAGTGAATGGGTGCCGTCAGAATGAGAGTCCAAACAGTTGATAAAAACAGCACGATAATCCACAAGATGTTTTTAACTTCATCTGTGCATATTTCTCTCCTTATTCAGACATGATGACTTTTTCTATGGAGGAAGACTTTTTATTGATTATTGGTTTAAATAAATTATTGCAGAAGATCCATTGGTGAGCAAGTGATGAAATGCAACTTTTTGCTATATCTCTTACATTTTTTTGACTTTGCTCGTTATGCCATATGGAGTGAAAAGTGAAGTTAGCTCCACCATGGTTCGCATGAAAAAAAACACAATATATTATTTTTTTTTTCCATTGACTTTTGGATTATTGTAGAAAATAAGCTGATGATAATGATTCTTGATGATGATGATTCTTGCATATTCTCCTTATCATGATAATCTTTATAACTGAACACAACTTTCATGGATTTTAAAGCCTAAATACAATTGGCAATAATAAAAGCTAAATGTAGACTTCAAACAAGCTACACCATGGTCACATTACTCCAACATCACCACCATTAATCTTTGGTCAGTTCTTCCTTTAAAAACATTTTACTGTACCTCCCTGTTGAAAAAACAGCATATGCTGGTAACCAGCTCATAACCAGCTTACAACCAGCTCATGACCAACAAAGGACCAGCATAAACCAGTTCAAACCAGCTTCCATGCTTCAAAACATACCTAACCAGCATATGCTGTTTTTTTTTTCAGCAGGGCTGTCTTAGAAAATGTTTCTTTTTTAGGCTCAGGGCTGCAGAGAGGAAGTGGCGCAAATCCAAAAACTCTACCGACCTCAGTTCATATCAGTCACTCCTCTCTTCCTTCTAAGCAAATGTCTCCACTGCTAAAATTACATACTACCACAACAAAATTAACAGTTGTTCGGACTCTTGCAAAACCGTCTCTTCACTTCTTTGTCCTCCTCCCCCTCCCCCCTCCTTCATCAACTCTTAAGGTCCTTGCACACTGAGTCCGAAATTTTTGTATGCGTTTTTTCGTTGTTGTTTTTTTTTTTATATTCATCATCCTTTCCTATTAAAATGCTTGCTAGGGATGCGAAAGCGCAGAAAATCAAATCTGATCCAAATCTTTTTTATGACGGACGAAAGTTTTGGAGGCAGTGTGTAAATGTGATTGACACAATGTGAGGTCGTATTTATTTTTTAACTTGCAAAAATTTTTAATCAGAATTTCGGACTCAGTGTGCAAAGACTTTTACAGCTGACGACTTTGTTATATTCTTCATAAATGAAACAAGAACAATCAGCGACCAATTCTCCATACCACAAACTGACAAACACATCATAGCAACAGATACACTCTCTCTCCTCTTTCTCTCCACTCTCGGAAGCAGACATTTCCAAACTTATCCTTTCCAATCATCCTACTACCTGTCCGCTTGATCCTAACCTCACTCACATCCTTCAGGCCATTCCTTCTTCAGTTATGTCTGCACTCAGTTACATCTGTCACATTATCAACACCTCTCTTCAGACTGGTACATTTACCACAGCATTTGAGCAAGCTCGGTTAACT